TTTTTTTGGTATCTATTGAGATATTCAAATGATTTCTGTCCTTGATTCTGTTAATATGGTATATTACATTTATTGATATATGTATGCTGAACCATTCTTGCATCCCTGGAATAAATCTTATTTGTTCATGGTAGACAATATCCTTGATGATTTACTGCTTTCTATTGCTAGTATATTATTGAGGATTTTTGTAACTATGTTCATTAGGGAGATTTGTAATTCTCTTAGTTGAGTCCTTCTTCAATGTTCTTATCTGGTAAATGCTTGCATCCAGGAATGAATTTAGGAGCAATGCTTCCCTTTCAATTTCATTAAAGAGTTTGAAAATATTAATGTTAGGACTTTCTAAATATCTTGTAGAGTTTAGCATTTAATCTGTCAGAGACTGGCCTTTTCTTTGTTGGTAGGTTTTAATTACATCTTTCAGTTTGTTGATTAATAGTTTTATTTGGAAATTTTATATGCTCTTGATTCAGCTTTATTAATTAATTGATAAAGATGTCTAGGAGTCTACCTATTTCTTCTATATTTTCCATTTTATTAGAATATACATTTTCATAGTAGGTATAGATGACGTACTGTAGCATTCCACTCCAGGTTCTGATCTTGGTTCAAGAAGTCAATATTTGTAATCCCAAAGATATGTTATCCCACCAAGTTAATTCCACCCTACCACTCCCAGCACAACCCACAGCAAAAATAAAGACTCTGAAACATATTTATAATATTGGGGAGCCCAGGGGCCCTAAGTTCAGCCATCAAGATGGCTTTCTAGATCAAACAGGCTAGCCCAGGACCATACCCAGGTTTTATTCATTGGAGGAGGAGTGGCTTGAAGAGGAATGACTGAGAATTGTGGGAAGTGAGTACTGTGAGCTGAGCTAGGTAGGTGGCCTACATTTACCTCTGCTGTATGCAGAGAGGATATGCAGAGAAGATAATTTGCATTATGCTATTGAGATAGTATCTAATGTTTGGGAGTCTGGTGCTTCAGCTCTGATGTAGTCTTTCAAGCCCCAGGAAGTCATAGCCTCTACTTTGAGGCTGGATCCCAGCTGGCAGCACAGAGCATTGGGTCTTTGTCCTGTCTGGACCTGGCTCATATTAAAGAGCAGCAGGTGTAGTTTACCAGGGAAACACGCATGCCACCTTTACAGACTATCACCAGCACCTCAGCTAGACCAATATACATTGCTTAAGGCCAATTGAAAGGATAAAAAGAAGTCCTAGCCACCTCTGTACATATCAATACAAGAAAATAGGGTCACACGCTCAGTCAAAATGGAGACAATTGCTCTTTTTTCAAGGAGAGTTGCTCAAGTGGTCCTCCACAATGTACTGGATTTCTACAGAGTCCATTGTGATTTCACTGTTTTCATTTTTAATTGTATGGATTTGAGCATTTTTAAAATTTTGATAAGGTTGAATAAGTGTTTGTCAATTTTATTTAATCTTTCAAAGAATCAACTCTTTGCTGCATTGAGTCTTTATAACACCACTATTGAGAGTCCTGATTTTGATTAGATCTGTAATGTGGGGAATCTTGGTAGGGATCTGGCTCTGAAGTTCTTGGTAATTTATCTGACTTGTTCCTTTTTGTCATCCTGTGTCCTTCATAGCAGGTGTGGAAATGTAATGTGTTTTTTCTCATAGTTAAATTCTACACCCCAAACTAATAGTTACCATCCTGAATTTGACAAATTCACCAAGTTTTTAAGAATGAACACAGCTAACATATAGACATGACTTCTTTTCTGTCTTGTGAAAAAAAATTTCTCCCCCTTCAACCCAGCTAGGAAGCCACATCTCAAGGTAGTTGAAGAGCAAATAATCCCCGGTAGGTAGGGCCTATAGCCTCTTTCAGCAGGAAGTGGCTATATGAAAATGGACACCTGCCCATTGTTGGCACCGCATAAAGAATTAAGTGGTTTGTATCTCTCAGGGGGTTAATGAAGATAGAGATTAGGTTATGACAAATTGACTGGGCAGGTGGGTATGACGTGTCAATCACAGAGATCCAGGAGACACATACCCAAGCCTTGCACCTAGAACCAATCTCCAAAAGAGAGTCATTAACCATCTCTGGTGGCTGTGAGCCTTTTCACTGGCCTGTTCTCCCTCAGTAGAGCATCTTTTCTTTCTTTCTTTCTTTCTTTCTTTCTTTCTTTCTTTCTTTCTTTTTTTTTTGAAGGTTTCAATTGTACTTTATTTCTTCAATAGGCCATATTTTAATGGATACACAGCACTTTTACTTGGCATCAATTATGATTTCATTTAGAAATAGTTTAGCTGTATCATATCAGCTGGCATGATTACTGATCTCTCCATTCCTTGGGGATGACTGCCAACAGGGGAAAGGTTCCATTCTATTCCAATTTCTGTTGCTGTATAGGTCCGTGGAGCAATACAGAATGTGGTTCCATCAACTAATATAGCATTATCTTATTTGCCATGGAAATCAGGTGTACGTTTCTGGCGGCTCTGCCTTGTTACCATTTGTTGAATGCTTCACACCAGAAAACGACCTAATGTGTTTTTGACCAAGGGAAGCATCCTGGAGCTGAAATTGAAATTGTAATTATTGCAGCTGCTGGCTTGGTGCAAACTACTTGCAGATATCAAGAGTCCCGAAAAACTTTTCTTTCTTTCTTTCTTTTTCTTTCTTTCTTTCTTTCTTTCTTTCTTTCTTTCTTTCTTTCTTTCTTTCTTTCTTTCTTTCTTCGTGTGTGGTTCAGGGTAGCCTTAAACTCACTTTGTAGTCAAGGCTGGTCTTGAATTCATGGGAATCCAGACTGTCTTCATGTACATGAAATTGTCAGAGACAGGTCAGCACCTAACTAAGGTTAGCTCCCATAAAATCTTTTTGGTAAAATGGGAGATAATGTAATTTATTGATTGATTTATTTAATTTGGCGGAACTGGGGATTGAATTCAGGCCCTTGCGCTTGCCAGGCGAGTGCTTATTCTACTGAGCCATCTCCTGGGCCCCAGGAGATAATGTTTTAATCAAAAGCAGTACATGTTTATTGCAGAAAAAAATATGATATATTTATATATATATTTATATTTACATATCTGCCAGAAGTCGTATACAGTGTACTGAAATAACAAATGCCTGAGTGCCAGCCAAATAACTCATCGGATTAAAGTGCCAAGGGTCAGGGGTTTGATCCTCAGGGCTGCTATGGTGGACACCCCCCCTTCCTGGAGTGTGCTGAGACAGCAATTGAGACTGGGCATGGAGATGTGCGTGCCTGTAATCCCAGCTCTTGGGAGGCTGTAAACAGGCATATCACTACGAGTCTAGTAGTGAGAGCCTGAACACCCAGTAGACCCTTCCCTAAAATAAAAAATAAAAAATAAAAAAAATAAATAAAAAAGTCTGGAATCTAAGGATCACTACCTTTTGAGATTCTCTTATAATTATAGAGGCCAAAGGTAACATTAATCTTATGATATTTCAACAAATTTAGTATTAAAATATTTATACAAGTTTTTCTTTTCCTGATGCATACATTTTTGGCAGACTATTTTAATGAATCATAATATGCATGGTATACTGCGAACTTCTTGCGGTATGTAATACCTTTTCCTTTTTTTTTGGTATTGGAAATTGAACTCAGGACTTCTCGCTTGCCAGGTAGGAACCTTGCCGCTGAGCTATATCCCCAGCCCTATGCAATATATTTAAATAACAAAACGTAATTTAAAAAAACTATATTTTAGTTAAAATTTTTTTTTCCCTTTTTTGTTTTTGGATTTGGGGACAGGTCTTGCTATATAGTTCAGGATAGTCTTGAACTCGCCGAGATCCTCCGGCATTAGCCTCTGGACTGCTGAGAATGCAAGCGTGCACCACAGCGACCGGGCTGCTGGGCCCCTGCTGTGCCCCTAACACAAAAAGATCCGATGGACTCCTTTGCTCTTCTGGCCAGATAATTTTCCAGATAAACGTTCTAAAGTTGAGGGCGTTTCAGTCAGGTCTGGTTATTTGGTAAAAGCCTTTCACTTCTTCCAGGGAAGAACTGGCGGGAAGCGACGTCGCACTTAAAAACAGCCAAGGAGGAAGTGGCGTCTCCCGCCCCGCGCGGCCTGCTGGGATTTGTAGTGCGGGGCTCCCCTCTGCGCATGCGCCGGGCCTCGTCAGTCGCTTTCCCAGCATCCCGTGCGCGGAAGCCGCTGGCGGGACGGGAGCGAGTGTTGATCCGGCTGCGGTAGAGAACCCCCTGGGCTTCAGGGTCCAGCGCGATGGCTTCCTTCGTGACGGAAGTTTTGGCTCACTCGGGGAGCTTGGAAAAGGAGGATCTCGGCACCCGGATCAGCCGTCTGACTCGGCGGGTGGAGGAGATCAAGGTGAGGGCGGTGCAGCTGTGGGTTGGTTCGAAAGGGACGCCGGGCGGTGCGCGAGGAGGGGCGCGCGGTGGGCGGCCGCAGGTGGGGCGCGCGGGGGCCCCCCGGGGTGGCGGGGTTGAGGGGAGTCCAGGGGACGCTGGGGTGAGGCGGCCTGGAGCTGCGAGCGAGGGGCGTTGCGCGGAGTTTGGGGAGCGGGTGGGTTAGGGGCGCGAGGGCTGGGGAGGAGGGGCGCGCGCGCGCGAGGTGCAGCCGGCGGCCTCGAGAGGGCGGGGCGGGTACTGCGTGTCATCCCCACCCTCTGCTCCGCGGCGAGCGAATGTGGTGGTTCTGGGAGGACGCGGATTGCGCCATCCTCCCTCTGGAGTTTCACCCCTCCCCATGTACATCACAAGTGTCCTCATCCTGAAGCCGCAGAGGCTGAGTGCCGGTGATGCGTACATGACTTGCTGCGCATAGCCGCGCACACTGACCCTTTGAACTGACGTTGTGAGCCTGGCCAGTATTTGCCCTGCGTTCAGGTTTCTTTTCTGTGCAAGCAGGGGTGCCAACGTTAAGTCTGGGCTTGCTGGAGCAACTTTGGCAGGCACCAGGAAAGCACAAGATACAGCTGTTTCTGGCAGCCCTTGATTATGCAAAAGTAGTTGCTTAAATTTTAATTCTCCTGTTACCGGCATCTGTAACACGGCTTTAGGCCTTTTCATTACTTTTTGTGTTGTTGGAAGAGGACAGGCTGTTAGGCTACTTGCATGGGCCTAGGGGCCCCTTGGTGTTCTGCATCTAATTTACCTTCCCTTTCACCGTTTTCCCTGAGTCTTTTTTTTTTTTTTTTTTTTTTTTGCGGAACCGGGGATTGAACTCAGGCACTTGCGCTTGCCAGGTAAGCACTTATTCCACTGAGCCATCTCCTCGGCCCCTTCCCTGAGTCTTAGCTGATGAAGTATTTTGCTCCAAGCAGACCCCATTGGTTTTGTTGTTGTTCCCAGATTTTGCTTCTATTGCTATTCCTTCATCCTTCTACTATTTTTCAATGTGTTTCTATCTATTTTTTAGCTTCTGTCTCAATGGGGTGTTCCGTATAAAATATCCTACATTTTCTCTCAAGAGAAGCAATCTTTTGCATTTATGCACCGGGAGGACAACTGCTGTATTACATTTCAGCCTTGTGTTTTGGTTACTGAATTGCATAGTTTCTTTACTACTTAAAAGAGAGTGAAGGGGGCTGGTGAGATGGCTCAGTGGTCTAAAGCACCTACTTAGAACAAGCTTAGCAAAGCACAGGGACTGCGGTTCAATCCCCCAGCACCACATGCCAGCCAGCCCTGTCCCCTGGTGGGCTGAGCTGGCCACACACAAATAAATAGATAAATAAATAGGAAAAAAAAAAAGCTTAAAAAAAAAAAAAAAAAAAAAAGTGAAGAACCAGCATAATTCTTGTATCTTTTAAAGCACTGAATAACTCAATGTAGAATATTCAACAATTTGCTTTTTTTAAATTTTAAATATTGAATGTTTATTAAAAAGCATCAAAATCTTCAACATTGACTTTCTGATGTACAAAATCTAAAAAAAATAAATTCTTGTAGGAACTACAATGAATGGTTGTAGTTTATGAATAACACTTTATGAAAGTAATACTATATTTCAACCATAACACCTAAGGCCTCCTGTACACAGTACAACAGCAATTTCCATACACACATATCATTTACACAGCACATGGGCTTTGTTTTCCTGGCCTTCTTGCAGAACACACGTGCATTTCAGTGGTCTTGCTATTTTTTTTCTTTTTCTTCTATTTTATTTTATTGAGAAACAAATATCAACGAGACAGTTTCAAAGCTGATTAACAGGACATTTTCAATAATTAATACATTGTACATTGTTAATCTTCTTAGTGGCTATCCATAGTACAGGAAGCAGACAGGATATTGTGTCCAAACACTATTACTACAAATCTTTCTTCTTATTGAATTAAGCGAAGGTAGCTGTACATCTATCCTAACTATTCTGCACATACAAATGCAGAATGGTCCTTTCTTTGTATTCCCCTTGTTTTCCTGTCAGAGATGGGTATTCCATTGGCATCTAAATATTATAGGTGCTTGAATTCAGCAAAACAATTCAACATAGTCCAGCAGTCTACAATAGTATTGGGTCAATAATTTGTTTTTTAAGCTAATTTAAATTAAAGGAGATAATGAAATGCAAATCATTTTTAGTTTTAGAGTAAGGCCTAACAATTTTATAGGCAAGAAGAAAGAAATTAATAATATTGAAATGTTCAGATCATGGACTTAATTTATCCCCTTACACTCTTTTCTGTTTGATATGTGGTTAGACTAGTAGATTTAGTCTCATATAGTTGAATGAGGACTTCTTACTCCACCTTTCTCTTTTCTAGAACTTTACAATCTTTCTGTACCACCTGGTTTGGTCATTGCCTGCCTGTGTGCCCGTCTGTCTGTCTGTTTCTCTCTAGTACTGGAATTGAACTCAGGATGCTGTGCATGCTGGGCAGGTGCTTGTGCTGCTCAGCTATATCCCTGGCTCTTGGTCATTGTCTTTACATGTTAATAATGACGGGACCCTTAAGGGTGGGAATAATGTGTTTTTAAAATAAACTCATTGGTTTGGAGGGAAGGTTGTGTGTTAACTGCTAAGAAAGCTGCAACATAAAAAAGATGTCTTTCCTCCCCCCAAAATCTCTTTTAATTTGTTTTTATTACTCTGTTTATAATACATAATGATTACGTTTATTGTGGTGCGTCGGTACATGAACAGAAGACATCTTTTTGAAAAACATGTCTTATGGGAAGATGTGGTTTTTCATACTGGGAATCAAACTCAGGACCACGTGCTTGCCAGGCAGGCTCTGTGCCATTGAACTGTATCCCTGGCCCCAAGGTATATATGTGTTGTAAGAGTTCCCTACTCATCTCACCGTCTTGTATTATGATTCTTTGTCGTCTGTCGTAGGGCGAGGTGTGCAGTATGATCAGCAAGAAGTACAGCGAGTTCCTCCCAAGCATGCAGAGTGCACAGGACCTGGTTACACAGGTTGCTAAGTTGTCTGATGACATTGACTTGCTGAAGTCCAGGATAGAGAGCGAGGTAAGAAGTGTTTGTTATGTCGGGCGTATCTATAGGAAGGTGGTTTAGCATCTTGATTTCTAAGTAAACTCAATTCTGTAAAACTTTTCAAGACCTCACTTTTTTTTTTTAACGTATTTAGTATAGGGTCTACAGGGTCTCACTACGTAGATCAGACTCTGTAGTGGTCCTCCTTTTTTCAGCCTCCCAAGTGCTGGAATTACAGGTGTACGCCACCCTGCCCAGTCTTAGTCACAGTCTTAGTGCATCCCAGGGTTGAAGCTGGCACCAGAAGGGCTTGTGGTGCCAGGGATCAAAGACCAGCCCCTGCGCTCTGCCTAAGCAGGCACTTTAGTCCGCTGAGCTATCTGGCTGGCCAAGACCTCACATTTCTTCTTTGTAAATGGTAGATCATTGAACCAAATGATTGTAGGATGAATTTTATGCTAAATATATTTTTAAAACTCTTAACTCTTCCATGGTAAAAAGTTTCTTAGCTACAATAATAATCTTGCATTTGAGGAGTACTTTGCAGATTAATATTATGACTTTGTGTTCATAAGAAAGTAAAAACAGACAAAACTTAGAGCGAGGTCATTTGGTCTTTTGTCTTCTCTTAGTATGAAATGATCCCCCTTCCACATTCAAGTCGGGGCCTTGGGTGTGTGAGGCCAGCGCTGTGCCACTGAGCGACACCCGCAGCCCCTATTGCATCTCTGAGGGCCCTAGTATTCTTGGATCTGCAGCTGTCCTCAACATACTCCAGCTCACTGCAATCCTTACTTTGGCCCTTTCCTGGAAGTGGCAGGATTTGTCCATCACAACTGCTCTACTTTCTGTCGTAGAGCTGCTTTCCTTGGGTGTGCAGCTGGTCTTTGCTTTTCTTTCACAATGTCACTTTTTGGGCTGACACTCTATATACTTCCTTTTTTTAAAATGTATTTTGTACAGGGTCTCACTACGCAGCTCATACTCTGTTTTCAGCCTCCCCAGCACTGGGATTACAGGCATGCACCACCACATCTGGACTTGGTTGCCAGCTCAGTGAGCCCCTGGGGTGGGGCCCACATGGCATGCAGGACTGGGGATCGAATCCTGGTCCTAGTGCTTGCCAAAACAGGCGCTTTAGTCTGCTGAGCTATCTTACCAGCCCCTTAAAGTTTATTTGTTTATTTTTTATGTATTTGGTACGGGGGTCTACAGGGTCTCACTACACAGAATGGACTCATAGTGATCCTCCTGTTTTCAGCCTCCCAAGTGCTAGGGTGATGGGCAGGCACTGCCACACCCAGTCTCACTCCCCATCTCAGGGTGCCCTGGGGGAGGGGCTGGCACTGCAGATGAGGGATTGATTTTCAGCCACTATGCTCTGTCTAAAAGCAGGCTCTTTAGTCTGCTGAGCTATCTGGCCAGCCCAGTTGGATGTTTTAAAGATGTTTATTCAGTCATTTTGTGTATTGAGCACCTCCAGGATACAAGATGCTGAAGGATGAAGTACGTGATGTATCAGTTTCAAGGTAGATGTAGATGAGTAGAATAGTATGATGAACTGTTATGCAGGGATAATTCAGTTACAGAAAGGAAAGCCTCATTAAGGATGACTTCCTGTAGAAATAGAATCCCAATGAAATGTTGAGTGGTTGGCAGTTGGTTAGGCCCCAGGTGAAAGAGAAGTGTGTGTGAAGAGGTAAGGAACTGTACTGAGTCACTTTTGGGAGCTGCAAGTCTTCCACATGACTAATGTTAGGGAATACCAGGGAAGGGACATGAGGTTGGATTAGAATGGTAAGGGAACACTTGGTGTGTCAATTTGGTATTATGGGTATCATCTTGACAGCGTCCAAGCTTTGGAGAATTTTAAGCAAGGCAACAGTGTCAGATTTGAATTTCAAAAGTTCTATTCTGGGGGCTGGGGAGATGGCTCAGTAGAATAAGCGCTTCCCTGGCAAGCGCAAGGGCCTGAGTTCAATCCCTGGTTCTGCAAGAAAAAAAAAAAATCCATTCTGCTTGCCCTTTAAAGAAGGGACTTGAGGGAAATGAGCTTGGGAAATGGGAAGGCAGAGTGTTGGAAGGCTGTGAAAAGAACTCAGGAGAAACGAGATGGTGACCTGTTCTAAAGTCAGTGGCAATGGGGATGGAGATGGTTAACGTTGGTTTTTGTTTTCATGGCTGAAGCTGGTTTTTCTCATGACTGAGTTTTAGCTACAGATTAAGGGGAAGGTGTTAAGGAGGCACATCAGTTAAGACCCAGTAAAGGTGAACATCACATGTCATTTCTGCATAAATCCTGATGGTAAGATATTAGACGTGTGTAGTCACACTGCTTAAGAAGGAATCTGGAGCATGTAGTCCAGTTGAGTGCCAGTACTGTGGAAATAAAGGGCAGAGGACTTCAGAGGGCCAGGTTGTACCTCGCACCATCCATGTGCATGCTTAGAGGCTAGGAAAATGGTGTAGACCTGACTGAAGTGATAGTATTTAGAAATTGAGACTGATACTTGGATTGGATAAGTGTTGTGGAGAAAATGTGTCCCATTCAGTCGTAGGATGTTAGCAGCAATCTTCAGCTCTACTAGAAGTCCGAATTCCCTTGCTGTGACCAAAGGAATGTCTTCAGACATTATCAGATTTCATGGATAAGGGTAGGGCAGAGTCTCCCTCAGAATAAGAAGGTGGCAAAGGAGAAAGTAAGAGTATCAGTATGTGGGTGGATTGATCAGAGAGAAAATGAGGTGCCCAAAAAGAAAATAAAAGGGGTGGCCAGGGAACTAGGTGGGAAGTCAGTAGAGACAAGGATAAGACTGTTTAGAAGGCAAGAAAGTAAACTCTGAATGTTGTTAGTTGAATGCTAGTGATGTATGCTTTGCACATGCAACAAGGAATTACTTGATTGGTGTTTTGCCAAGAACAGCTGGTGGAACGGTGGGACTGGAAACCAGATCACAGTGAGGAGTGGGGTGAGGAGAGAACCTAGGGGGAGAGCAGAGGCAGTGAGCGTGCGTCAGGGTTTTGAGAAGTTTACTTGTGTGCAGGCGGAGAGAAACAAGGCAGCTCGAGAAACAGGATGATTGCTGAAATGGGGGGAAGTTTTTCTTGAAGATGGGGACATTTTAACTTATTTAAATCTGATGGGAGGAGCCATGCATGGCGGGAGTTTGATCACTATATTTCATGAATGGAGACTCAGGGAGAGGTTAAAGGTACAGAAGGGAGGAAACAAGTGATGTAAAGCCTCGGAAGAGAGGGGGCATATTGGGCGGTGGATTCTGTTTCAACATAGAAAAATGTTTTTAACAGTTAAAACTGTTCATCTGTAGAATGAGGTAGTATCACTTTGCATGAGGGCACTTTGCTAGTAGTACTAGAAGATGAACTCTCTGTTGAGGGAAAACAGTTAAAATTGAGAATAAAAAGCTGGGCGTGCTTGTACGGGTCTAATTCCAGCAGCCAGGAGGCTAAGGCAGGAGGACAGCTGTGAATTACATTGACCTGCTGTGCCTAGGTACAGTACAGCTTAATAGTACTTACTTTTTTATTTTTTATTTATTTATTTTTTGCCGAACCGGGGATTGAACTCAGGCCCTTGCGCTTGCCAGGCAAGTGCTTATTCTACTGTACTTTTTTATTTGTAAAAAAATACAAAATAGTGATAGACAAAAGAAACAGCATTAGAAACAATACAAATTTTCACTAAGCAAAGTAATAGGAATTCAGCAGTGGTTGCTGTATTACATGATGTTATCTTCAAATTGGTTGCTCAGTAGTGCTTACTTTTGCTGTATGAATTAGGTCCGCCGGGATCTTCATGTATCAACTGCTGAATTTACAGACTTGAAGCAACAGTTGGAGAGAGACTCCATAGTCCTGAGTTTGCTTAAACAGCTGCAAGAGGTTAGTCACCTCAACTTTAGTGGTTTCTGGTGAGAAAGCTTATTTTTTCCAATTAGTCTCATTGTTCAGTGTGTATTCCCTGACTAAATGATGGATTTATTAAAAAAAAAATTCAAAAATAGAAACGAGACACATGCCTAATAACTTTGCCTTATCTTTTAGTTTTCTACTGCTATTGAAGAATATAACTGTGCATTGGCAGAGAAGAAGTATGTCGCTGCAGCTCGGCATCTGGAAGAGGTACTAAGCGCTTTCTCCAAAGCGTGGCCCATTAGTACCTTAGAGAATTTGTTTTTAGACTACTTTGTGCTCTGTGCGTTGTGTGTCATTGTGTACGCTTTATCTCAGTTGCTCTGAGTCCAGATGGAACAGTTAACAGTGATTTTATTTCACTACCAGGCACAGAAATGCTTGAAGTTATTAAAATCAAGAAAGTGTTTTGATTTAAAAATGTTGAAATCGCTCAGCATGGAGCTTACAATACAGAAACAGAACATCCTGTATCATCTTGGAGAAGAGTGGCAGAAGTTGATTGTGTGGAAGTTCCCACCGGCAAAAGGTGCTGCTGAATTCAGGTGGACTGCTTTGCTTCATCTGCCTGAACCATTCTGGCCCCTGGATATATGCTACATACCCTATTTTGTATAAGAACCTCCCAAGTCTGTGTTGACTTATCGTGTTAAACAAGATCCTTTGTTAGGAGCAACTTGGCTGAGCCCCAGAATTGTTCTTGGTTTCCTCTCCTTCCATCCCTCTTTCTGTCCCCTTCCTCAGGAAGGGGTATTGGGTGGTTGGGAGTCGTGTGAGGGTACGATGGAGGAGTGTGTTAGTCGCTTTCCTGTCACTGGGACAAAATACATGACAGCTGCAATCTTTATTTGTTTATCTTTTTGAGACAGGGTCTCACTATACAGTTCAGGCTGGCCTTGAGCTCATTTTGTAGACCAGGTGTGCGCAATTTAAAGGATAGATTTGTTTTGGTTCACATTTCCAGTCTATAGCTGGCTGGATCCAGGGCAGAAATAGAACGGCAGAGGGGCTTGGTGAGGAAAAAAGTACTCAACTGTGGTAGTCAGGAAGCAGGGAGCCCAGGGAGGAGCCAGGGACCCAGATGTACATTCATGCCCCTCAGTGACCTTCCTCTAGCCAGGCTCCACCTCCTAGCAAATCAACTGTAGTTCTCCCATGATCCAGTCCCCTTCCAAACACAGAGACATTTGGGGAACATTTTAGACATAAACCATAACAAGGTGGTAGTAGTTTGAGACTGCACTTTCTCTGTGGGAAGCAGCTGTTAGCACTGGCCCTCATCCCTGTGGTGTGTCTTGGCTAGAAAGCTTTAGAAAGGTGTTTAATCATTCTCTGTCTCACTGAGGGAAAAGGCTGGGTCAGTGGGCCTGTGAGGGCTTTGGCTTAATTATTATGTTTTCAATTCTTGGGGAAAATATGGTGACAAGATGATGAAACAGAAGTTGTTTTCAAGATGAGGCCATAGGGCCACTCTGGCTCTCACTGCTTTGTGCTGATTGGCTGTTCACTCCTCAGCCCGCCTCTTGCTGGGAGCTCCCTTGATGTGTTTGCTCTGAGAGTGAAATCTCAGAAGGTGTTTGTAAAGGACGTGCAGTTGTAGCGGGCGTGTTTTCCAGCGCAGGATCTTGAAATTGAGTGTATTTCAGGGGACACTTCGTAATCTCCCTTTGCTTCTTTTCCTATATGTGTTGGCCTCTATGTATGGCTGTCATATATTTTGAAGGAAATCTAGAACTTACTAGATTGTGTTTTCATGTAGACTATAAATTAATAGAGATAGCAGGTGTGTTGAACTCTATGTTATAATGTGTTCTACCTGTTAAACTTGTTAGGAAGACTTTTTTTTTTGTAAAAGAACATGAAAGGATGGGGATGTAGCTCAGTTTAGAGTGTTTGATTGGCATGTGTTAAACCCTGGGTTCAGTTCCCAATAACACACACACACACACACACACACACACACACACGAGGAAGGGGAGGCCTATGGAACTAGGAATTCATTTTTTATTCCTGGCTTTCATTCATTCAGTAGTTAGCATTTCTTTTAGCCTTATTTTTCTTTTGTACCTAATGTGGTTCTTTTTTTTTTAGGGAAGGGTCTACAGGGTGTTCAGGGTCTCACTACTAGATCGGACTTGTAGTGATCCACCTGTTTACAGCCTTCCAAGAACTGGGATTATATTTGGCTGGCCCTCCTAATGCGGTTCTTGATAGGATTTTGAGGGTTGCAGCAGGAGAAACTGGCAGGAGAAAAAGGGAAAGGGGCTTTATTATCTTTGAAGACTCAGAATCTGGGGAAGATAAATTCTCTGGATTGGAACAAAGGGAGGCTGAGGCTTTTATGGCCTTTAGCCACAGGTGGAGTTTGAGGGGGATGTTTATATACAACTGAGGAACTGATTGCGTCTTCCCTGTGGCATTGGGAAGGGTGAAAAGAAATTGCACCCTGGGCTGAGTTGGAGAAGAAGGGGGGAGGTGATCTCTGGGAAGATGAGCTGTTTTTTTTTTAATGAGCAAAATATATTTATTGAGAGAAAGAAAGCTCCTGTCCAAGAGAGGGACAGGAGGGGGGCCCGAGCGGGTAGTTCCCCTTGAGCTGTTGTTTTAAGGACTGCAGTCATATTAGATGGTGACCATAAAAATTTAGTAATTCATACTATAGCTGGAACCTATCACTTCTTTGATTGTATGAAACAGTCATTTTCTTTTAAAGACATATCCAAGGACTGTGTGTCGTAATTACTATTTGGGTGCATTAGAAGTGTCTAGCAAGGCAGCCACGTGTTTAGGCATCTTGGTAGTTAGTGGGCTCTAAAGCCCAGGACTGCGAGCCTCTTGTGTTGCTGAAGCACCTGATGTTTTTCTTCTTTTTTCCTAGATACCAGTGCTTTAGAATTGTGCCTGCAAACAGAGCTTCATTTATGCACTGAACAGTCCCAGAAAGAGGAGATGATGCCTGTACCACCCATCAGCTCTGTCCTTGCGGCATTTTCTATTCTTGGAGAACTACAGACTAAGCTTAAATCATTTGGTAAAGCATCCTGTTTTGTTTGGTTTCCATGAATTCGCAGGAGGTGTAGTGCCAAAGGAATGATAGAAAAGCTTATGAAATATTCTCTATACAGTATCAAAGAGAATTGTCATAAATACTGCTTTGATTATGAGCTTGGGTCATTTTTAAAGATAAATTAATTTCTATAAATTCATTTATATGTAGTAAAAGTCTGTCTATGACCTGGAAAACTTTAGTGCATTGTTGTGGTGTAGGTGTTTTGGTTATAAAGCTTGAGGGTCCTTTTTCTTTTTTTTTGAGGGTCCTTTTTTTGTTTTTGCTTTTGTTTTTTGGTGGATTGGGGATTGAACCCAGAGTCTTTCCAGTTTACCTGAATCCTCAAACCTTTAAAAAATTTTTTATTTTGGGCCAGGGAGATGGCTCAGTAGAATAAGTGCTTCCTTGGCAAGTGCAAGGGCCTGAGTTCAATCCCCAGTTCTGCCAAAAAAAAAAAAAATTTTTTTTAATTGAGATAGGATCTCCTTAAGGTGCCCAGGCCCGCCTTAACCTTCAGCCCTTTCTCCTCCCCCTCCTTCTCCTTTTCCTTTATGTTTTTAAAAAGGCACTAGGGAATGAACCCAAGGCTTTTCCACCAAGCTATGTCCCCAGCCCATTCTTTATTTGGAGATAGGGCTCAGCTTAGGGAGTCACTAAATCTGCCCTGACTGGGCTTAAACTTGCAGTCCTCTTGCCTCAGCCTCCCAGAGTGCTGGGATGACGAGGCGTGCATCACCATGCACAGCTGAAACTTGTGTTCTGCCTTAGTCTTCAGACTGCTGGGATTATAGGCATCTGTGCCTTGCCCAGCTTCTAGCGATTTTTTGATGAGTGTTTGCGTGCTTTTTCAGGTCAGATGTTGCTGAAGTACATCCTCAGGCCTCTGGCGTCCTGCCCGTCCCTTCATGCTGTGGTAGAGAACCAGACGAATGCAGTTGTGGTTCGCTTTGAGTCTCGGATGACCGAGCTGGAGCATCCGTCGCCGTCTGAAGTTTTCGCAAAGATCCAGCTGGTACTGGAAGTGCTCCAGAAGCATCTCCTAGGTGTGTACCCAAAGCAGTGCTTTCGTATTGCTTAAGAGTTTTAAAAAGTGAGTGTTATTTTAGGGTGGAAATGCCCATAATGTGAGTGAAGGAATGGTCTGAAGCCAGTTACGCCAGTGGAACAAAACAGACCTTGTTTCTTGCCTCCTTTGCATGTCTTCTCTCCCTGAGGCTGGCAAGTTGGGCCTCAGGACTCCCCAGATTCTGTGATTATAATGTTATTTTAGTTGGATTCTGGGATGTAGTTCTCTTGCTGGACTTCTAATAGCATAACATTTTGGGAATCTTGTATTCGTTGTAGGAACCCAGTGGTGTTTTACATATTCCACAGAAAAATTCCCATTAGCGTTATAAGCTAACTACATTGAACAGGAAATAAATTGTACTTCAATTTGGCTTTATTGGTTAGATCTTTGTATAATAACAGATAGTTTCTGTGTTGCTTTGAATCAATATTTTGGATTGTTACACTGTTAAAAGTGAAGTTTTTTCTGTTTTATTTTAACAATGTTTTTTGGTTTAGTTGAGTTGCCCTTTTTCTTTTTTTTCTTTTGCTTTTCTTTGTTGTCTTGTTGAATAATCCATCCAACATTCTTGTCTGGAAAAAGTGAAGAAGAATTGCTTCTATTGTTCAGAAATCTTCTTGCCATGTTTGTACTGTTACACATAAATCACAGAGAGGGCGTGGTGCTGCACACCCTTGTAGTTCTGGCACTCAGGAGGCCGAAGCAGGAGGCGCATGGGTTCAAGACCAGTCCCAACTACACAGTGACACCCTGTCTTAAAGGTGTTTTTTCTGATATAAAGTAAGGAGTTCCTTATATTATTTTGACATGAGCAGAGAGCTCTAAAGCCCTCTGTCAACTACAGAAATCCAGGGTAGTTTGTCTTATCCCTAGATTGTCTGTTTTGTTTTTTTTTTCTTTTGGGTGGGACTGGGGATCGAACTCAGGCTCTTACACTTGCCAGGCAAGCGCTTATTCTACTGAGCCCTCTCCCCGTCCGCCTAGGTTCTCTGTTAAGGCAGAAGTAGAATTATATTTTTGTTAGATGTAAACAAGAGTTGGAAGCAACGCACCTAGGGATTGAAAGGTGTCAGAGCTGCTTAAACTGGTGCTCTCTGCTGTGTGCATCTTCTCAGCCCCATTGCTGGTCTGTGGGCCTTCCAGAGCGCTGTGAGTGAGAAGGAACCCACTTGGTGAGGTGTGCCATCTTGATCGGGGTAACTGTATTTGGAAGGTTGCTGTTTTGATTTTTAAAACTCATCTCTCCTATCTGTACTCAACACTGCTGGCATTGTAGATGTGTGCCCCCATGTCTGCCCTAGACAACGTATTTAT